AAGAAGTTTGAGGTTTAAAGTATAGAATAGATGTATTGTACTTGGAGCAATTCAGTGCATTTACATCAAAACTCTGATGCTGTCAGGTGGAAAAAGTAAGTTCCAAGCCATGGTTGGTGGCCTGCAGACCTCAGCAACCATTTTAACCCCCAGGCCTCATACCTATGCTGCTGATCCTAATGGGCAACTCGCTGGCAGAAGAGGGATTTCCAGGTGGTAGGTAGCTTAAAAAGCTGCTGGGATGGGAATTCCGGTGGCCATTGAGAGAGGGAAGGGTGGCATACGGGGCTGAAAACTTTCCTTTTTGGGCTATGAGGAGCTTCCTGGCAGTGCATGGTGAATGTAATCCTTACCTAGCTGGGCCTTTTCTGGACCTGGATCCTATTTCTGTTTCTAGTGGGAAATGCCCAGCAGCTTCTCTGCTCACACCAGCTACGTTAACAGTCGAAGCCTTATCATCTCAGTCAGCTGGCTGTACTTGGTATCTGAGCTCAAGACAGTATTATAGAAGTTGAATACCAGTAGATTAGTTACCTTATGATTTTTAAATTCTGGTTCTTGTAGGATGGGTTGTGTCAATATCACTTGTGAAGTGCCAGTTTAGTTCGATTATTAAATCCTGCCTTAGTCATGGGTTTAAGAACTTGAGCATGTAATTTAAATAGACATTCTGGTGCAGTAATAAGGTGGTGTTGCATTTCATGAAGTGTGACATCTTTCTTTGAGATGAAATGTTAAGCTATTTTTCATTTAGGCTTATGTTGAAGATATTGTGTCTTGTCCAACTGGCCATTCATCTTATTGCTGTTCCGAGGGTTTACGATGTTAGGCCACTAACTGTCAAAGTAATTAATTGTATGTGTATTTTGGGAGATTTCTGAACAATGCTAAGGTGTTAAATAAAAGCAGGTATTTCTTTAAGTGTGCTGAATGCTGATTGCATATTATTTTCTTTGAGAAAACTGCTTTATTGCACCTTGTGACTATATTTAAAGTCTGTTCAAACAGTCATAGCCCACTGTGGGTTTTATTTTGTGTTGTTAGTTAGTGAGGAAATATTCTGGACCAAAGCACATTTGCCTGTAGAGATGGTATAAGAAACTGATGCATTCATTTGCCCCAATTAAATTGCACCTGTCCAGGAAGCAACTGAACTGACCTCAGATGCATGGACACAAGGAACTATTTCACAGCAGAGATCCATCCTTGATCTCTGCCAGAATCCCACTAATTATGGAGGCCTTTCATTTGCTATCTCTTTGAAACTCTGTTTCAAAAAGTTTTTATTGCATTTGCTTTTTGTACTTTTTCTTCTGATTTTATTCTTTAAAATATTCTTATTTACATGTTTGTTTCTCATTAAATTGTTGGGGTGGAGTAGTTAACCAGGATTAGGGAGGCTATCAGCTTGGTGGCTCTGAATTAAAACATTGAAGTACAATTATTAACTGGTTATTTCAAGCAATTTCATCATATTAACGGTGCATATTAATTTGTGTCCATGTTGCCAGTGACAGGCCTTAATTCTCCCAATAAATTTACCCCATAATTGATTGATTGTTCCAAAAAAAAATTCAAGAAGTTTAACAAATATACTTTCTGAATTGATTTTAAAATGGATCTCAATTCTTCAAACTGTTTCATTGCACGGTATATTAATCATTGGATTTCCTTTTTAAACTGGGACAGCCTGTTGGGTATATGGGGGTTCAAAGACTGTTAACCATCAAGCAGTTTACTTTTGTTATGCTTTGCCATCTTGATAGGAAGTCAGGTGCTTGCAGTTTTCAATCTCGAACATTCATCCTAGACACTTTACAACAAATGTTATGGTTGTTTTAACATATTCCTGTACAGTTACTTCAAAACTGTAATGCTGCTATAATTTGTCTTGGTTTCCTAGCTCATTTGTTTGGGTATGTACGTTACACTGGTTTGGATAACTATACTTCCAGTTTTCATTTATACCAGTGTAGTTTCTTCTTGCACCCCAGAGCAGTTCGCAAACATGTTTACAGACCACACTTGGCATAAAACCACGCCAGGGAAAATTAGGAATTGGTATCAATGTTTGGTTAAAGAGGTGGGTCTAAAAGAACTTTTTGAAGGAAGTAAAGAGAAAAGAATTCCAAAACTGAGAGCCTCAGCAACAGAAGGCACAGCAGAAGGAACAATTTAAAAAGGGACTTCTCAAGAGGCCAGATTTAGATGGAGGTTGTAAGACTAGAGGAGGCTACAGAAATAGCAAGCGGCAAGTTCACGAAGGGATTTGAAAACAGGAATTCAAATTTAAAAATGGAGGTTTAACCAGTCATGAAGCCGAAGCAATGGTTTAACTGAACCACAGAGATTAGGCAGGCCCTGGAAATGAACACTGGTCCTTCTAGCATTGTGCACATCTGGATATCATGTGATTAAAAACATTGGAATTGCTATGGTAACTAGTCCAGTAAAATAGCTGGCTGACACTCATTTCCTGGACATGCGCTTGAAGAATAGCCATTTAGAATAAAATTAGAGGCTTCTTGATGTTTCTAAGACTTCCTCAGAAAAATATCAGGAGCGAATAGAGTTATTTGACAAAATGAGAAGACTTTTTGCCTACGCAACAGCTTTGGGAACATTTTCAAAAATAATTTGGTGTTCGTAAAGTACATTGAGATGCTGTGAGGTATTAAGAAGTTATATAATTGCAGGCTTATTTGTTGTCTTCTACCTGTTGTAAATTGAAATAGCTAGACATCGACTGTATATTTCGCTGTTCCTCCCTGGGGTGGACTGAGAGCTCTTTCGACAGTGTCCAACCTCCCATTATTGTGAGAGGTTCACAGGTTCTTTGATGGTATCCATATCCTGGTCCATGAGTTCAACTGCCCATTGCCATCCTGGATTTTTTTGGAAGAGGTTAGATAAGGAATAGACAAAAATGGTACACTTCCCAAAATAACTGTGGGCTGGCTATGGATCTGTCCGAATAATAACAATGACTGCATTTCAACAATAATCCCTTGACTGTGAGGTACTTTAATCCCTTAGAGGAATCGTCTTTTTCCATCTATTCTCTGCAGTGAATTGCCAAAGTTGATTGAAACAAATCCTTCAGTATGATGAAGGCTTCCAAAACTAGGAAACAGAAGTTAAATATGAAGAAGTTAGAAGAAAACAGGAAAGCTGGAAACATTTTTAATCCTGAGTAGTTGAAGCACAGGGAAGGCCACTGAAGCAACTATCTAAAAGGAATCAAGAGACAGGTGTATTACTGGATAGTGAAGAAATGAAAGTGAAGAGTATTGGTTGATCTCTGAGAAGAGGGTGGTTCTACTGACTGCTTCCTATTTCAGAAATGCATCAGGTAGAACTTTACAGGTGTCCCTGGAGTGGACCATCAGGTAGGGTAACTTATGAAATTAGGTGCTGTGGCAGCTGTTCTGTGTCTATTGCCTGTAAATATGACCTGTATTTCCAACCTATATTTTAGTGCATGAGGGAGGGGAAGTTGCAAATTAGTGGCTGCTTATGGGTCTTTTTTCTGTTTGAGGTAGCGTATGTCTCCAGTTTGTGAACTTTGTACAGGACCATGCAAACCACCACGACCACCCAACCCCCACAACCATTCCCCATACCAGAACATCGCATTTGTACCTTATCTGCCAACTCGCTGTTGTTGGGGTCAGAGCACTGCCAACCATCATTCTCAGAGATAGCCCTTCCTACAGGATGGTGGTGCTCTCCCTGAGCCACTTAATGCTGTAAAACTGACCCAACCAAGAAGAGTTCAGCTCACATCTGATATTTCAGTCCATCCTATTTCATAGGTATACTGCTCTGCTCTGTTTGCAAATTCTTACATGTCTGCACAGTGTCAATCGACATGCTTCACAGAGATTTGCATGGGATATCGACAGGTTATTAGTAAAGGTCATCTTCAGCGTTGTGCTGGTTAGGCACTGCAAATTCTATTTGTTTCAATGATACTTAGAATTTGCAGCACAGAAGCAGACTACTCATTCACTCGCTTTATGTCAATGTTTATCTGTCACCCAAGTCTCTTTTCCGCTCTATTTGCTTTTCACCCTATCAAAGTACGCTCCTGTCCTTTCTTATTTGTGTGCAAATCCTGTTTTCCCTCAAATGTATTTATGCTATTACCTACTATGGGGAAGTTCCATGTTTTCACCACTACCTGAGTGAATTTTGAATTGGTTTCTCTTAAATTCCTTATTAGATTTATTAGTAACTATATTTTATTTATATATGATCTTAGTTTAGAACTCCCTTATAAATGGAAGCATGTTCTTTATTGCTGTGCTATCAAATGCCTTCATAATTTTAAATGCTGCGATCAGATCATCCCTCGGTCTTTTCAAAATAAAAGTGTCTGAGTCTGTTCAATTTTTACTGATAGTTGTATCCTCTCTGTTCCCTTATACATTTTTTGTGCATTTTCTCCAGTGCTAATATATTTCTGCACAGAACTCCCTTTTGACTAACCCAGGTTCTGTATAAGTTGAATATAGCTTTGTTGAATACCATTCCACTGAAATAAACCCCGGTGCTTTGTCTGTACTTATAATGGCATGGTTAACATGTATTTAATAACTATTTTTGATAATTGTGAGAGAAAAATGAACTGTTAAAATCTAATTTATTTTAAAAGCTCTGCATTTGAATAAATGCGCTTAAGATACATGAATTAGAACTGCCATTATGTGCTTTCACATTCTTGTTATGTGATATTCTCTCAAGCCTAAACTGAGTGCCTACTTGATTGTGCTGTATTGAAGATCATTTAAGATAAAGTGTTGGTGCTTTATAAAAGTTACAACTGCAGCATGTGAGAATAGTGCATGATTGTGGATGTGTGTATTTGTATATAACAAGCTAGAAATTAAACCGTTTTTTTTTAAAAAAAGCACTGCATCCCCTTGCCCCTAATTACATTGTAAAACATGTATTGTCAAACTGTAGGAGCCTTATGTTCTTGTTATTTTTTAAAGCGGGGGCTTGGTGGGGAAACCAGCAGCGGCCTACAGAGGAACGTGGCAGTCTGGCAGGCAAGGCAGCAGCAAGGAGAGGTATGTACTCACATTTCAGACTGAGGAAAATCAGAAACTAGAACAAAGTATATCACTCTTTATGGGATGAGAGCAGCTCATGGTTATTGTGTACCACCTAATAACCTTAACCCTAGCCCATAACCTGACACCACGTTAGCTTTCAAACTAAAATAATAATTTAATATGAGATCTACATCAGGTCCAAAACATTGAAGGCTTGCATTTAAAAAAAAATCCTGTAATCATAGTAAGTGAGAGAAATCTAGACCTAAAAATTGCCTACATTTGAGCAAAATGGCATAAGAAACACTTTTTAAAATCCAAGATTGATGTCCCTTTTGAACAGCTGTTAACGCTTATTTTGAAGTTGTCAATATTTGTAGGTTTCCACCATTCAATTGGAGGTGCTACAGAACAGAGCAAAATGTAAACTAATGAAGCTGTCTTTAGAGAATGTGGCACCGTATTCCTGGTTGAATGTTACTCCATGGCAGCTATATCTGTGAAATACTGGAAATTATTTGGAATTTTAATTTCAAGTTTTGAAGGAAAAGTGGGTAGCAGGGCTTCTGACTAAAAAATCTGAAGGCCTGATTATTTTAGAATTTAATTTACTATTGTTTTAATGAACTTGGAAATAGGTGATTTGAGAGCAATTCGAATATACAAAAATACAACAAATGAGTTTAGGATGTGTAAATTTGCTAAGTATGCATATTCTTGTGAACATGTGTATATTAAAGTGTTTAATTTATTGTAATACAGTTTTTTGAACACTTTTATTTGAAAATGTCTGTTGAAATCTTATGTTAATGAATGTGCATGAATAATGTTTAAGAATCAAATGAATCGAGATATCATTCCCTCCACTTTCATATTCAATATTGAAGAAGTCTCTGGTGTTCTTACTCATTTCAGATGTCAGGTTTTAGTTGCAGAAAATCTCCAGTAACAAATTTTATGAAACTGGTGAATCCTAAGGTCATGGAGTTTAGTGCCAATTGAAAACTGCTTGCTTGTGGACATTAGGATACTCGCTACATTTAAGAAAAGAACCAACAGTGCATTATTTTACTAAATTTCAAAATACATTTACAAGCATCACTATTTAGGCAACATTAAAACTGATGTGGAAAGGATGTGCAAATTAGCAATGATGTATTGGAAATAGATGCATTATATAATTTATAAAGAAATACAATGATGTTGTGTATTACATAATTAAAATATTAGCAGATTATAACACATGATTTATAACTTCAAAAAAATTATTAGATTCCTTTATACCTTCCAGTACATTTCCAATTTCGCAGTGAATTATTTGTGTATTGCATGTTCCTTTTATTTGTAGAATGTATTGATAAAGCTAGAAAATGCATCAAGAATTATTAACGAAGACAAAATGTTGGAATCAGTCTGCACCTGAAGTGCTCCCTCCCGACAGTGGTGTGGATATATCAACATCACACAGACTGCAGTGATTCTGGCTCACCACTGTCTTCTCAAGTGATTGATAGTAAATGCTGGCCTTTCCAGTAAAGCCCACATTCCATGAATGGATTTTTTTTTAAAAAAAAAAATAAGATTTTCGGTTCTTTCCATAGAAGTTGAGTGTTTCCAGCATTTTCTGTTTTCATTTCAAATTTTCTACCACTGCCTTTTTAATTTGCTTTTTGTTGTCCAGAAACTGATTTTGTTGGAACTGGATGAAGTGAATATTCATTACTTTTTCTAAACACTGACCTGGCATATTTTCGAGGTTGATATATATTTGTGCAACTCCGTAAGTGCATCACAGTTCTTTTTTTTAAAAAAAGATCAAATATGTTTCAAACTAACATTTTAAAGAGTTGTAATAGTCTGCAGGAATGTTCAACAAAAATTCAGACTAGTTGCACATCTGAAACTTGAGACAACTTTAATCTGAACTTCACTCTTGGGATTTTGTATCACATGAAGTATTCAGCTTTAACCACCTGAAACAAAAGTCTCAATGACTCCGCTGTACTCTTGGACCATGAGATGTCATTATTGACTTTAATTTGTGACCATACGAAAGCTTTTCCTGGAGATCTATGCACAGCAGCTCTAACAAGATTAGTGCCATCATCATTGTTTAAAGTTGAATTTGACAATGGATGGTGCTCATGCATGAACAAAAATAATGTTCCTTTTCTTGTCCTTTCTTCCTCCTCCTCCTCCACACCCGTTACTGCTCCTCCCTGCCCTCTTTGAAAGCAGGTCTGCCCCACTGATGTTGCAAATAACTCCCAGTATCCAGTCTCGAGCACAGCAGTTTTTGTTCCTTAAGCAGGGGGTTAGACTTTACAGTTGACCTATCTCAAGTCTTCTCTCAGGTATTTTTAGAACTCCCAGTTTTATGCTCTGTTCAGATCATACACAGATCTGTGCGAGAAGGTGGGTGTGCATAATGTGCAAAACACCAGGGCTCTTTCTCAAGTTGAGGGGCCTGGACTGTCTTCTAGCACAACCCCAATCATTGGTCAAGTAGTTCGCACAATAGTCCACAGCTCCTTCCTTCTTGCTTCTGTCATGGACCACTGTGTTTATGTTGGGCATTAGGTGCTTCCTTCACTCTTCAAACCCAAGATAAGGCATCTAGTGGCTGTAACGTAATTTTATCTTCACAATGTTCTTCCCAATGTTGTGTCTTGATGCTGTGCCCCTTCCCTATCTCCTCCCTCAGTGATGTGGCCCTTCCTGACTTACTCATTCAACTCTGTAGCCCTGGTTCCACTTTGTGAATTGGGTTATACAGTGCCTCGTACAACCTCTCAAGTGCTCTTCAGAAAAGTACTTTTGTATTCAGTGTAGTTATGTAAGCAATTCTGACAACCAACCTGTACTTAACAAGACTCAAAAATAGAAAAGTCCTGATGGTGCAGTTGCCGTTGGATTTTTTGGTGTTTCAAAGACCCTTAAAGGTCTGAAATAGAGTTTGTGGTACATGTACATACTTCTGATGCATAATATGCAGGATGCTTTGTTCTTAACTGAGGGACCCAGAAACTGGAGAAGCACCTTGACCCATGTTTTCCATCCCTGGCCCTGCCAAGAGGGGATATTTAGAAAATCTACATAACAGTTTATGAAGAATTTTGCCATATCATTTCAAGTCTGGAAAGGTTAAGTGAAGAGAACCTGTGAAACATCAGGAAATGCCATCACTTGAAACTCATGCACTAAGTTGCCTTGAACTTTTGTTTTAATATTCTTTCATCACTAAGTCTTAGCGTTTTCTTCTTATGATCATTATGGGAATGTGAAAGCTCCTTGAAAGAATAGTTCATTACAGGCATTGGATATATCCTTAGCTTTATTATATTAGCAACTTGTCAGGGAAATATCTGGGGTTTACCACATGGTTAACACTTGAGAATTAATTGGATCTCTGAACTATTAAAGATCAACCCATTTTGAATTATATTAGCATCTATACTTTTTCAGGCCTTGATTGGAATTTCAAATCTGCCGAGAAAATTGTTTAACCTTTTTGTGCCGATTAAAGAAGAAGCAAGATGAACTATCAGTTACTTATTAGCTTTAGAATCTTAAGAGTGCTGTAACATTGAGTGCTCAAACAATTAGTACATATTGTTAATTGATTAAATAAGAGTTTACAAGATCAGTTCCATTATGTTACAGTAATTCTTCATTAGCTGCTTGCTGATTTATAAATTGATGATTATGATCAATGTCAGAGATTAAAATATTCTGGAGAGCTTAATTTTAGATTTGACTCCTCAAAAATCTGGCAGCTCATATTGTGCCCATTCATTTGAATATATCAATGTCTGTTGCCATGAAATTTGGTTCTGCATCACCTGATTTATCAATGCTACAAGTGCTATTTTGTCTTCAAATTGGAGTTCAAGGTACTTGTGGCTGCCTGGTGTAAGACCCCATACAAATATGGAGAAGGTTGTGATAGCTGTGAAAGTGCAGCAGAGTCAATACCAGCGCTGCCATTTTGGAGTCCAATGCAGCAGTTAGTACCCTCCCTTAATTTTGCTGTGTGTTCAGCAGGAGCAAGGAGCCCCAACAAATCCTTTTTGAAAGAGATCATCAACTACTTTCTGGATTAGTAGTTTTCAGAGTTGTCTTATGTTGCTGTGGCATGTGCCATAGGACTTGGTCTAACTTCAACAAATCTTCACAAGCCATTTGCCCCCAGACACAGGTACAGTAAAATGCATTTCTTTTACCTACAGCATGACAGGAGAAGGGACAGTGCTAATACTGGGTAGAACAAACTGCTAGGTGGGGAAGATGGGCTCTCACCTGACCATATCCACCCAAGGTGTTCAGCAAATCTCTGCTTTGGGATCTCGGTGAAGAAGAATGTCTTTGTCACTCCTTCATCCAAGGGGCCCTCCCTAAAATCTGCTACCTGTCGCTACAATAGCAGCGTCAGTGGAATGTAGGGTTTTCGTGAGACCACAATTGGAATATAATATGCAGATTTGATTTCCTTTAAAAAGGGATATACTTGCATTTGAGGTGGCACAGCAAAGGCTTACTTAATTGGTCCTTGGGTTGAAGAGATTGCCTGATGGTGAGAAGCTGAGTAAATTAGGTGTTTATTCCATAGAGTTTAGAAGAATGAGAGTCTATCTCAATTAGATATACAAAATTCTGAAGGGCTTGAAAGGGTAGGTACTAAGAGATTGTTGCGTTCACCGAGAAATTTAATATATGGGGCACAATTTCAGAATAAGGGGGCAATCACTTATGGCTAAGTTGAAGAGAAATTACGTAAGTCACAGTATTTTCAATTTTTGGAATTTTCAAATTCAGAGGGTTATGGACGCTCCTTAAATGAATAACTTTAAGGCTGTGATTGACAGATTTTTTTGAATCTCCGAAAACTGAGGCCATGATGTGGAGGTTGCCAGAGTTGGACTGGGGTGGATAAGGGCAAAAGTCACACGACACCAGGTTATAGTCCAACAGGTTCGTCAGGTGACGAAGGGGCAGCACTTTTGAAAGCTTGTGAG